AGAGTCAGCTCCTGAGGTCAGAGGTAAGTTATGGAGGTCAGAGTCAGCTCCTGAGGTCAGAGTCAGGTCCTGAGGTCAGAGGTTACTGTCATCTATTGTCAGAGGTAAATCCTGGATGTCACAATCATCTCCTAAGGTCAGAAGTCAGTTCTAGAGGTTAGAGTCAGCTCCTAAGGTCAGAGGTCACAATCATCTTCTAAGGTCAGCTCTGGAGGTCACAATCATCTCCTAAGGTCAGAGGTCACAGTCAGCTCCTAAGGTCAGAGGTTACAGTCATCTCCTAAGGTCAAAGGTAAGTTCTGGAGGTTAGAGTCAGCTCCTGAAGTCAGAGGTCACAATTATCTTCTAAGGTCAGAGGTCAGCTCTGGAGGTCACAATCTTCTCCTAAGGTCAGAGGTCACAGTCAGCTCCTGAGGTCAGAGGTAAGTTATGGAGGTCAGAGTCAGCTCCTGAGGTCAGAGTCAGGTCCTGAGGTCAGAGGTTACTGTCATCTATTGTCAGAGGTAAATCCTGGATGTCACAATCATCTCCTAAGGTCAGAAGTCAGTTCTAGAGGTTAGAGTCAGCTCCTAAGGTCAGAGGTCACAATCATCTTCTAAGGTCAGCTCTGGAGGTCACAATCATCTCCTAAGGTCAGAGGTCACAGTCAGCTCCTAAGGTCAGAGGTTACAGTCATCTCCTAAGGTCAAAGGTAAGTTCTGGAGGTTAGAGTCAGCTCCTGAAGTCAGAAATAAGTTTTAGAAGTTAGAGTCAGCTCCTAAGGTTAGAGGTCACAATCATCTTCTAAAGTCAGAGGTAAGTTCTGGAGGTCACAATCATCTCCTAAGGTTAGAGGTCATAGTCGGCTCCTGAGGTCAGTGGTTACAGTCATCTGCTAAGGTCAGATGTTGTTTCTGGAGGTTAGAGTCAGCTCCTGAGGTCAGAGGTCACTGTCATTCCTGAGGTCAGAGGTTACAGTCATCTCCTAAGGTCAAAGGTCACAGTCAGCTCTCAATGTCAGGGGTTACAGTCATCTTTCAAGGTCAGAGGTAAGTTCTGGAGGTCACTATTATCTCCTAAGGTCAGAGGTCAAAGTCAGCTCCTGAGGTCAGAGGTTACAGTCATCTGCTAAGGTCAGATGTTGTTTCTGGAGGTTAGAGTCAGCTCCTGAGGTCAGAAGTCACTGTCAGGTCCTGAGGTCAGAGGTTAGAGTCATCTCTTAAGGTCAAAGGTCACAGTCAGCTCTCAATGTCAGAGGTTACAGTCATCTTTTAAGGTCAGAGGTAAGTTCTGGAGGTAACAATCATCTCCTAAGGTCAGAGGTCAAAGTTAGCTCCTGAGGTCAGAGGTTACAGTCATCTCCATTGGTCAGAGGTAAGCTCTGGAGGTCAGAGTCAGCTCCTAAGGTTAGAGGTCTGAGTCAGTTCCTGAGGTCAGAGGTCAGCTCTGGAGGTCAAACAGCAACCTTTTCAGCTCTGATGAGAGTGTCGCAGACTCTGACAGGGCTTTTCTCTGCTAGACTTCAGGACAGACACATCATTCATCATTCCGTGACTCAAATCTCAGTCACTGCACACTACTGTAACACACAGAAGCACAGGACTCCTAACGACACCACACAAAGATGGCGGATAACTGCCTGAAGACAGAAGTACACTGGGTTGCTCTTGGGGGAAAATATCATTAAGAAATATTCCAATTAAAGTCCCGCTAAAGCACTGACTGAGTGACTGCGCCTCAAGTCAATTAATGAAGCTTCTGTTTCCAGTGAGGCAGTCAGAGCACTGATGAATACAGACCAATCCAATGCACAAACACACGTCTATGACTAACATTCACCACAAAATACACACTCTTAAGGTAAGAGTGTGTGAAACGGGATGCAGCGCCAGTCTCCTGATGGACCAGGAGTTTACAGAGCACTGAAGCTGGACGGAAACAGAACACGAGCGGCTTATAGAAGAGGAGGAAACTCTGAGTGACAAAGCAGATCTGCAGGAGAGACTGAACACTGCTGAACACACACACACACACACACACACACACACACACAAATGTACAGATACGAACAGGCACACTCACATGCGCACAGACCATCCTCAAGCGGTGATTTCAGCATGGTGTGTGTGTGTGTGTGTGTGTGTTTGTCCTTGTGGTGTGTGTCTGTCATGCTGATCAGTGTGTGTAACAGATGGATCTCTGCCTGCTCTCCCCAGACGTGACTTTACTCAAGGAGACGCTGCTGAGGACGACACTGACACACGCTGGGTGTGTGTGTCTGAGAGTGTACATATATATGTGTGTGTGTGTGTTTGATCGTGTGGTGGGTGTGGATGTGAGTGTGTATGCATGCTTGTCTGTGTGTTTGAGCATATGTGTGCATTTGTGTATGCATGTGTGTCTGTGTGTGTGTCTTTGATCATGTGTGTGTTTGGATGTGTGTGTGTGCATATGTGTGTGAGCATGAGTGTTTTTCAGCATGTGCGTGTGAGCCTGTGTTTTTGTTTGCATGTGTGTTTGATCATGTCTGTGTGAATGTGTGTGTGTGTGTCTGTGCCTGATCATGTGTGTGTGTATGTGTGTGTATGTGTGAGAGTGTGCATGCGTGGGTGTGGTTGTGTGTGTGCGTAGGCTTGCGTGTGTGTGTGTTTGTACATGTGTGTGTCTGTGTGTGAATGTGTGTGTAAGTTTGTGCGCGTGTGCATGTGTGTGTGTGTCTCAGCAGATGGATGCTCTTCTCTTCTCTTGCTGCTCCTCCATCATGATCCTCCTCTGGATTAAAGGCTCTGCTGAAGTGGGTCAGTGTCAGGCTGTGAGCTGTGTGTGTGTGTG